GATGTCCGGCAATTTTAAAGTTTTTTTTTAATTTTTAAAAACGATAAAATCGCTGTAAACTCTTAAATATTGCTTAACCAGAAATGAATAAACTGCTCTAATTGTTCGTTGTATAACAAATTAAAAACGGATTAAAATACAGTAATACTAGAATGTTTTTCTCTCTGTTCTCAGTATATCTATATACAGTGGTAGACAAAAGGTCTCAAAACTCGGAGGGTCAAGTTTGACACTCATTTTCAAAGACGGGGTCAAACTAATTTTATCCTCTAATGTCTTTATTGCAATTATGAAAAATATTTTTAATGTATGAAAAAACTTTGTACTTTTTATGGACTTTATTTTTTGTATTATATCTATTTTTGCAATATTGTTTATACCAATTTTTTATTTTGATTTTAGGGTAGTCATTAAGAATAAATATAATATATTAAGAAACAATATAATAACAATATAAGTAATCTTAGANAGAGAGAGAGAGAGTAGATTATAAATCCATTAAACCTCTGTATATCGCGAGAAAAAAATATATTGTCGGAAATAATTAATTAAAATGATAACCATATCATAAAATAATCATATCAATGTCGGAAATAATTCATGTTAGTATTATTCACTCAAAGAGAGAGAGAGACTCTTAACTATATTGTGTTCACAAGACGGGTCCTTATCCCTATAAAATCAAATTTCAGCGAAATTCGCGAACCCCTCCAGGAAACACCCTACCTCCTCTACCTTCCATTTAAACTTCATCTCATTAAAATCGATCTTGCTCACTCAGAACAAGCCCGATTTTGGAAAGGCCGGGGTGATGTGAGGGCCGAACTAACCCTCAGTAAAGTGTTATTTTCAATTTTATTTATTGGAACTTTAATCAAGTAAAATCGAACGTTAGGCTAAAAGCCATAAAACTTATTTCCCACGGAGTTTGTTCCTTGTTGAATCAGATCAAGTTAGTCAGGGATGTGTCACCAGGAACTTTTGATGGAGAAGACATATTGGACGTGCGACCGTTAATAGCCATCATCTGACCTCAGGGAAAAACCCCAAGAGGAATGAAAGAGAAAAAAAAAAGATCCCGAAGTCAGTCGTCCTCCAAAGTTCGTCCGCTCAAGAATTTATACCGTGCAAAATATCGTGCATCCGCCGACCTTATCATAAGTATATCTTACCCACCTAAGTGCCTCAACACCAGTCGGATACCTCCCTCCGAAGTTGCTCCTGTTACCTGAACACTCTAAATATCAAGAACATTCCATCCAACACCCCAAGAATCCTGACGGAGAATCATCCAGTCATCAATCCTCGACTTCTCTATAAGGTATTTATCCACACGCGAATATCCTGTAACTCTCTCTCTCTCGCGACAGTTAGATTCGATAATCTAGGGATATAGAATATGGATATATATATATCAATCCAAGATGTCTATGATCGTATATCATGTACTCCTGCTCGTTAAAATAAATTTGTTATTGTTTATTAATCTGGAATCGAGTGAATCACTTCCTCGTTTCTCTCTCCTCACCTCTACTCCGAATCCAAGCGCTCACACGCTACCGCTCGCGAAGCTTTAGACTTAACGTCGCGAGTTCCGAGTCCCCTAGAGGCTCGGTGGTGTCATCCTGACAGGGCGCCAAAGAGGTGCCGACCCCTCGGTCACATTTACATAAAACGGTGTTGGAAAGTGTTTAAACGGTAACGATAGAGGCACGGCGTACAAAGTAAACACATTTCAATACAGTAATAACCCGACGAATAAAACCAGCCGAAAGTAGGCAGTTTTATTCTTACGTCGTGTTCGAATACTTTTTGCCGGAGGTCGTAGAACGGTCGGATCGAATGGCGGTCCCCTCCGACTTTTTCTACCCGCCGCCCACCCCGTCCTTTTCCTTTTAACTGAGGTCGAACCTTTAGTCCGCGCGGCTCGATCCATCGGCGGATAAAAGTCATCCCAACTTAAATTCGGCCGTTACGTTAAAGAGCGTTATTTGGCCGCGGGTTAAAAAAGTCGGCGTAAAAACTTTTATTTGCTTACGATTACTCGGGCCTGGAAAAATTTTAAGCCTCCGGATGAGGCCTTCCTCGGGACGGTTAGAAACGCTACGCGGTCCATTACCCGAAGCCGAGCGCGTATTTTTATTTATAATCCGCGATAGTTATCGCATTTTCTAGTTGGTTCTTTAACGATGGAAGAAATATTATAAATTTGTAATTAAATTTATTTAGAGCGCAGTATAAGTAAATGATTTACGCCAGCCGGCAACCAGCGGCGGAGTTTCCCCGCTGACGAAATGCTTACGAGCCTGGGATTAACTGTGATTCCAATTCGGAAACGTTGTTTTCATCGGTTGCGGGCAAAAGCCACATTTTAAATTAGGCAATAATTTTTGTCCGTTTGTATATATTTTTACTTTCGCCGCCGCTAACTACTTGGTCCACAGAGTATAGCCTACGTGTGGTTTTTTGTACAAAAGTAGTCAAATTTTACCATAAAATTCTTACTCGACGCACGCGGCAATTATTTGTTTTTAATTAAATCTACGTTTGTCTAGGCTATATTTTCGCTCGGCGGCACCCGTAATTCCCAGCGTACGTATCGTCCTTAGCGCTACGTACGGCGCTACGTAATCTGTGTGGAAATTTCCAAGGGCTAAAAAAGTAGGAAATATTACATTAACAAAATTAAATAGGAGATTAAGTGGAAAGTTTTGTCGCCGTTTTAAAAAAGTCGCATAAATCCATGCCCATCGCCTTCCTTCCATCGGGCAGCCGTTGCCCGGCTCCGCGGCGCTAAGCGGAGAGCCAGAGTTACGTTGCCATCTTTAATCGTCTTTTAAATTAAATAATTCGTTCCGCTTCCGGTTGGGACCGGAAGTCGGTATATCGTCGACGTTTGGATTTTCTTCTGTCTGGACCGAAATTTTAAAAATTGCCACCTACCGGCGGTAGCGGTTACGGGCGAGTCGCCCACGACGATAAGAATTATTAATGAGGAGGAAGTAAGGCCGTTCTACCGGCATTAATAAATAATTGAAAACTACACAAGTTCGTATACTCCAATGACTTTTTACTTACGTTCTCGAGAAATTGTATCGTTTGAATGCCATTTTTTCGTTACGCGCTCAACTTATACGACGACGGTGTAATACTTATTTCTATCGAAATAAACTGCCGCTTCTTCCGTCGACGTCTCGGGGGCGATATCGGCCCCGTTGAGAAACACTGGTCTAGACCTAGTTACACCGTAAAAGAGCGACGTCGCGTCCATTGGCTGGGTAATACAATCGCATTAAATATGTATTATATATGTGTAATCAGTGGCGTAGCGTGGATGTCGCCGTCCTCTTATTTACGTATCTCAATTTAATCGTCACAGAATAAATAATGAAAACTTCCCTGCTCGTTTCGATCTGTCCGAATCGTAGGTGCGACAAAAATATCAAACGAAATGGTTCAAATTTTCACAAGGTATTATTATTATTTACTGTATTGTGAAATTTTGCCGTCCCCACTACGCTACGCCACCGCGTATAATCCGCTATTCTCTTATATAAACAAACGAGTTGCCAATGTCCGTAGGTCGTCTTCCGGAAGAAGTAATTTTTCCGTGTCTAAAATTGGGCTTATTTTTTAAAGGAAACTCGTAAGTCTAAGCTGCCGTTTAAAATCGGTTGGATTATAAGAAGGTAAAGTCTCTTTTTTATTTGTTTTTTCTTTTTTCGTATCTGCAATAAGATCATCCTCGTCCGATTCGGAATCGAGTAGTCCTATCTGTAACGCAACATTTAAAATATTATTTGCAGAAAACCGCCATATTTCTTGTTGGCGTTGGCGTTTACTTTCGAAAGGACGTGTAAGCGCCAATGTACACGCTAGTGACGTCACTTCCGGTGTTCGGAAGTAGCGCTATTAGCTCAGAAGTAAACGCGTAATCGGTAGTCTCGAGTGCGACCCATCGAGCGGAAGTAGGTGGTATTCACTCGTTTACGCGTGTCGTTAAGCGCGGTGGGATTATCCCCTCTATGGCGGGCCGAGTTTCTTCGGACCACCACCACGCCACCGGCCTCGGGGCGGTCCACGCCTTTACGGCTCCGTCCTAAACGTCGTCCGATTGGCCGATACTAAAATATCGTCGGTTTCGGCCCATCTACCGAGCGGGAAGATACCGCCTCCCGTCTCCCGAACGTCTCGCCCCGCATTCGGTGGCACTTACGCTAGAAGGCCGTAACTCCGGGAAAACTGGCGTGGGCCAGGACCTCGGATGGCCCCAGCCTCCGGTCGGGACGGAACGAGCGGTTACGGGCTGTTTCGCGCTATGACCGACTCCGAGGCGTGTTGCCGTGGCAACGGCAGCCGGACACATTTAAAGTTAAATACAGTATTTGTAGTCGGCCAGCTCCAACCAACGACAGCTTCGAAACTACAACCAATCGGACTTATATATGAAAACTATCTGCCAATCAAACGTAACTTTACATTATAATTTATTTAAATTTTCCCTCGTACCTTATTTCTTTCGTAACTGCTGAAATTTTATACGGGAACACAAATGACTTTAATACGTACACTACAAGTATATTAAAATACATTATCGACGTAATGAGAAAAGATAGTATTACGGTATTTAGACTTTTCGGAACAATTTATAAAGGCTGGTATACACGGTAAGGAAATCCTCAAAGGATGTGCTTAACAGACGAAAAAAACTCGGATATAACTGGCTGGATCGAACATAGTGATTTACAAAACTTATTAAAATATCTCCCAACGTATAAAGAATTATTTTTATTTAAAAATGGATAGATAGAAAAAAAAATCACGGTTAATCCTCAAAGGATTTCCTTACCGTGTATACCAGCCTTAACAAGTAAGGTCATATCCGCAAAGTTTAACCGAGTAGACTACAAAAATATTTTTAAAAATTAGAAAAACTTAAAACGATTTCTAACACCCGTTCCCATGCCAATACTTCTATTACTAGTCGGTCCGATTATAGGATGGGTCGGTCGTATGGCGAAACGGCCCTAAGGCGGCGGGATTAGAAAGACGACGTCGGTTCTAACGCTCAAATTCCGGACGTTTCAGCGGCGGAAGCGTTGTGGTTGGAAGAGACCAACACGAACGGAACCCGAGTGGTGGCTTCGGCCGGACAACGCTACGAGTTTACGTGTTACGCGCCAGGAGTGCCTCCGCCCCGAATCTCCTGGTTCAAAGACGACCGACGGTTCAACCACTCCGGCCACAACGGAATAGAGTCGAAGGACGACTGTCGGAGACTGGTCATAGAAAGACTCCTGGACGACGATTCCGGCTTTTACCTGTGTCGAGCAGAAAACCCAGCCGGGATCTCGACCGCCAACGTCACTTTGGTGGTGGCCAAAGGTGAGAAACTTCTTTCCGTCCGTCTCCCGGCCGCATCCGCCTAACCGCTATTTGTTATTTTTCAGACCGAGCGGAGGCTTGGCGGCGAGAGAGGGAACGAAACGCTTACACCGCGGTTTTCGTGGCGGCCTTGGCGCCGGTTCCGTCGATACTGACCGCCTTCCTCATCACAAAAGTCCTGAAAGAAAAGGTAAGACCTCCTCCCCTTGTGTCTGTGGCGGTGTTTTTAAAACCGCTTTGGTTGCAGAGAGAAAAGAAGGAACTGGAAATCCTGACCCACGCCGTCTTCTATAAGGGTCGAGCGGAACAAATCAATCCCGACTTGCCGTTAGACGAACGGATCGATCTGCTGCCTTACGATTGCAGCTGGGAACTTCCGCGGGAATGCTTGAAATTAGGTAGGTGACCCGGCGGACCGTCTAAACCCCCGGCCAAAGCGCGTACCGTATACGGTAGGCGGCCAAACTCTATTGTTAGTTCGATGGCTGGACGATATCGGCGCCCCTAGAGACACTCGTTGGTTACCTAGTTATACCCATCATCACTAGCGTGGTTTTTTCTTATAAATCGATAGTACCTAACGAGGACACGTTTATTTAATGTTCGCGGGCTCTATATCGGTGGTTCTCGACCGGGATCCACAGAAAAAAAATACCGAATTGGGGTTTACCGCGATATTTTAGTGATCCGTAGGTAATTTTACTTGGGAACGATGGTTTTACCGAAAATGAGTATGTATATTGTCAATTTCTTTATTACTCATTTCTCGCGTAAGGGTTAAAATATAAATTACTGTATTTAAAATATCGAATACGTATACGACGTATAGGACAAAGGTCAAAGAGAGATTATAAAGATAAAGCGGAGTTTGTTCGGAGAATCTTATTCCGTCGGCGACATTTCTTAACGTTTTCGTTTCTTTTTTTATTAGTGAAAAATATAAGGTTTTTTCCCCCGCGCAATGTCTACGGGTGGAAAAAACGTGGAGAACCACTGCTCTATATTAACGTCTTTGGCTATACTAAACATTTATATGCCATTAGATTTGTCAGATGATTCTGCACTAGAATATGTATAGACATTCTAGATATATGTATAAATTTTCAGTCTAGACGCGAGTATAGAAGTTGCTATTGGAAAATGATGTATAACCACAATNAAAGAACTGCCATAAAAATTATATTTATATTAATGATGTCTCCAAAGTTCAGCAAATTTTTCGCAAGAAAACTAATTTATCAGGAAACACGCGCCCGCCGTTAGATGCGCTGCTCCACGACGAAAACAAGCTTAAGCAATGGCGTCGTCGAACGGTGCACACTCGGTAAGTAGTCATACAATATTTTGTTTATAGCATAGGTTATATGGATTATTCCCAAAAAATTATACGTGTTTTGGAAATGTTGGTTCAAATCGATTAATTTTATGGAAGAAAACCTTTCAAACAGCCGTAGTCCGTAAACTGCATACGTGCTGGGCTGTGATTGGCTCATGTATTAATATTTAACGACTCGTAAAACACGAATTTCATAAAAAACGGAACGTATCTACCGTGTTACAGGGGGGGGTCAACTGTATTTTTATTAAATCAAAATAAGTGTTTAAATCGCGGTAATTGTTAATCTTGGAAAGTTATAAAACTAACTTTCCAAGATTAAAAAAACTAACAAGCAATTATTTATTGTGACACGGTCGCAATGCCGGGCGGCAATTTTTAATCATAATTTTAATTTATTTAATTTAAAATAAATGCTGTCCACTTCAAATTACTACCGTTGTATCTCGTCCCCGTACATCATACTTCTCCTGACAGCAATAGAGTCGTGCCTGTCATCTATTTAACTCCTGAAATTTCAGGGAAAATGTTTTGAATAGAAATAAGGTGACTTCCGCTTTGCATCGTAAGTTCATGTATAGTTAATCGAAAGAGGCGGCCTTGATTAACTATATGAACTTTCCGATGCAATCAACTCCTAATCTTTTCATATCTGATCTCGACTTTCATCTACCTAACTGCGTTCTCGAGATTAAGGAAGACCAGACAGTGGGATTTATAGATCCACAATGGGTTCAAATTGCAGTCCAATATCAATATAAAAACAACAGTCCCAGAAGATTCTACCATTGCTCAATTTAAGTCGAATCGACTTAGTTTATGAGCGTCTTCGAACATTTCAACTCTGACAAAATGAATTACACCTCGTCTCTGTGGGTGTGAGTGAAAAACTACAGACAAAAAGCAGAATGATTTGTTTCTACAGAAAGACAGACTCATAAACCCATAAATCGAAATTCTGTCAAAAAATCGAAATTTTTAGCATTAAACTGAGTCGCCACGCAACAATAGAATTTCGACAATTGTCTGTTGCTTTGTTCGAATGCGATTGTTTCGAGTATTTTCGGAGTTTTGCTGTAGTTTTTGCAATATTTTTTGGTAAGTTTAGTCCCTGATCTTTCTAGATTAAGGTATTTTTTAAGATTGTTAGGTACTAGATCACAGTTAGCAGCGATAGTTTTCCCACAACGAATATTTCGATAACAATTGTTGTGTGGTTTCTTCAAAGAGAAGAATCGAGTCTTTGACTTATTTTGGAAAAGTCCATTCAATCTTTTCGTTGTTAATTTTCGTCAATCGATTCGAATTGTTAAATCAAACTCGAATAATAAATTCTGTCGTTTTGTGTATATTACATATGCCTACACATTACATCCCTTATGACATTATTATAATTAATCTGACCTTTAATGAATTAGAATAAATAAGTTTATACGTCATTAATTTTTTCTAGAATATTTTCATTAGTTTTAATGACAATCAACAGAACTTTTATAAAGCATAGAACTGTTATTATTATAATATATTTAATATATAATAATTGAATTTCAACGTTTTCGTTTATTACTCCATTACAACTTTATATTTATTTGTGATTAGAATTTTTTCTTGTACTTAAAACGACCATTTGCCATCGTATTTATGCTATTAAATTTTCATTTCATTTTTTAATATTGTCTTAATTTAACGCTCGTTCTATAATATTTAACTCGTTTGTTTTTCGCTTGCACAATGGATAATTTCAAAGCGTTGAAGAATTGGAATATCTCTGGATGAGAGAGTGCAGAGGATAGCTCCTCGACATCAGGAACGTCTTCCTCTTCGATTCGAGTAATTCGCGTGCGTCCGAAAGAAGTGCTGGAGGGTGCGAAGGAGAAATCTGGTCAGCCCGACAAGAAACGGGTGATTGTCACCATTCCTGATGAGAGCACGTCGTCTGTCATCGATTACCTGGAACAGAGATATCCAGAAGTTCCGGAATGGTCGGTGCAGAGACAGGCACGCGAGCAAGGACTGCAAGAGGAGTGTAAATCGATCCTGAAAAAGAGGAAAAAGAAGCCTTTGGTGGAAGAAGTTCTTCTTCTTCTGGAAGAAATAAATCAGCAAGGTCTTCTCACCGGATGTGACTTTTTTCCCGGATGTGACATTTTTTACCTGGATTTGGCCTTTTACCTGGCTGTGACCTAATGAACCGGATGCGACTTCATTTATTCGATTTTGATGGCGGTTTGGCGTCTTCCCTTTCCTGCTAACGATTTTTGGAATGATCATGTCCTTCGTCATCGCTTACGAGGGACGTGTTCTTCCACTTCAGTTAATTAAAGTCGACGGTGACAACTTAGCACCATCTTTGGTCGTTTGAAACCTCTCAATTGAGGATGAAATTCTGACCGGAAAATAATGGATTTTCGCCTGCAACGTGCGTGTCAACACTGGACACCCGAATAAAAACAAAAGGGAAATATCGCAGTTAACATATGTTTAAGCCACAATTATAATTGTATTGAGCAATTAAATGTGTATATAAACCTTCACTTAATAAAAGTTTTAAACTTTATATTAATTGACTACGTGTATCAGTTTAAATATTATTTAAATAACATGTTTCGACATGTGTTCTGGGATAATAGGAATAAATATAAACAACTCCCTGCTGGATTAGATCGTGTTTCAACAAGCTAAATAAGTTTAGTATCTCGCTGGCCATCTAATGCCACACTCAGTTTATATTCAGCATTCGAACGCTACTGTGCTTGTATTTTAATTTCTGGAATATGGCTCGCAGAGGTTGTATAATTTCTCCTGACAGCTTCTGTTATGTTTGTGGTGAATACACAGTGAAAATTCAACAAAGAAACATAAGTGATTTTGTGAAGAAAGTTTAATTTGCATATTTCAAATTGAAAAACTTGGAGATGAAGACAAAGCAGATTTTTGGAAACAATAGGAGAAAACGAAAAAGAAGCATGGGACTCTTTCAAGAATGTAGTTTATAAGTTTTTGGGGAATACTAAGGACCCTGACTACAAAACCATTGTACAACGCATGCTGGCAGCAGCGTATGAATTTCGAGGATGCGAGATAGAATAAAAGTTCATTTCTTACACTCCCATATTGACTATTTTCCCGAAAACTTGGGAGCCTACAATGAAGAACAGAGTGAAAGATTTCACCAGGATGTCCGTAATATCGAGAGACGTGAAAAGGAAAATTGGATGTCAATACGTTAGCTGACTACTATTGGATGCTCAATCCTGAAACCAGAGAAGGAAATTGGAAACGAGTTTGGAGAAGCATCAAAAAGAAGAAGAAAAGGTTTCGTAAGAAAAAAGAGTAGACCTAAAATTGTGTATAAATATCGGAAACAATTTGTTGATTAGTTGTAAGAAAATATTTATTACAATGAACTAAATATATTATAAGAGTTTTTATCAAAAATTTGTTTTTATTTTGCAAAAACCTTTACATGATGGGATGTAATGGAAGTTAGTTTTAGAATCTGTGATCTTTAAAACATATAATTCAGCAAAAATATTCCATGCAGCTGGAAAAAAAATTGTTTTGAAGACCTGTGTTATTTTTTTGATTGCTTTATCTCATGCATGTAAATTTTAAATCGACCGATTTTAGATTGCCGCGCGTACCCCTTCACGCAATTTTGCGTACCCCCAGGGGTACGCGTACCACTTGTTATAAACCGCGATATCTCCAAAAGTTACAGTCACAGACTAAAACTTTATATGCGATTAGATTCGTCAGACGACTCTGCACTAGAATATGTATAGAAATTCTAGATATATGTGTAAATGTTTAGTCTAGACGCGAGTATACACACTAATTGGGAACCACTGCTCTAAAAGATAATGTACAGATACTTCCTATCAAATTGGTTACTTTTATTGAAATTTGACAGCATCCGATAACATATAAAATTACATCTAAGTGAATTTATCGCTTAAAAGCTGCCTTTGATTAAAAATACTTTTTTTTTTTTTACTAATAATAGGATCGGCCCTTATACTCTGTGTGAACCCAGGGGGTTAGAGCGGAGAGCGTCTCCCCACTTATCGGCTTCGTTGTCAGGGATGGCGTTGTTGAATGAGTGGGAGGGGCAGTGAGGTCGTGACAAGGTGTCCAGATAACTACACGGGTTGAACAAT